TTGCCCATCTGTGAACCATGGTCCACACAGCCTGCATGTCTGCTGGTCTCCCATGTGTGTCCCATCTGCCCAGGAGACCCACACCATGCCCCTTCGCGCTGTCCCTGTTTCTGGTGTGTCCCCAGGCACAGGTGCCACCCTTTCGCGGGGGGGGGGGTTACACGTCCTGCTTCGGCTCCTTAGCCGAGTCGGCATCTCCTTCCCCTGGACCCTTGTGGACTGGCCATGCCTGGCTGGGTCCACCAGACGACAGACAGCACCTGGAGCACGGGCCCTCTGAGGCCCCGCTCGTACTGTGCAGTGACAGGCCCCACCCAGCATTTCCATGGAAAGTGCTTTTACGTTGTTGACTGTGGACTGATGAGTAGGTGCCGGGCTTGGGACTAGCTCCTGGTGCTCTCACCTGCTGCAGGAGCGCCATGCGTAGGCTCCATTCCCAGCCCACAGATAATAAGATTTTTCTCCTTATTTGGAAATCAGAACAAGGGCCAATTGAGGCGGTAGAAATAGTAGCAGACAGTAATACTGTGGGGCTTACTTTGTGCCCAAGGTAATTTTCTTTTATGAATAAACCATTTTTGGTGTACAGATTGCTTTTCATATTAAAAACTAACATACGTTCCTTGAAATTTTCACTTCCGTTCTTTCCCTCCTACCTAAGCCTCAGGACCTCTAGGGTTCCTAAGGTTCCTTCCTAGGAGCAACTTCTTCGAACTGCTGTTGATCCTTCCAAGCATCTCCTGTGTGTCTAGCCTCACGTGGCCAGCATGTCATAGTGTACCGTTGTCGCTGGAAGTCCCCTGGCCTGGCAAAATGCTCGGCACCTATCTGTTCCTCAGTAAATACATGTCAAATGGACATTGATGAGTACACACTGGAAATGCAAGCCAGACACAACTGCTGCCTTTTCTCCTTTTCTTTGTAGATAAATGTTTGATATTTTCCATCTGAATGCGTGAGTGCAGATAACATGGACTGCCCTTTTTCTGTGCACTCCTAGCTGATGACACCAGGTTCTGGGCCGTCCTGCAAGTTCACATTCTCACAGGCCATACACACGTGACATGTCACAGTCCATGCCAGCCCTGCCGGGTCCTTGTGCTCACCCCGTCACACTGTGCCCAAGTCACTGTTCCCACACTGTCACACCTGGTGCAGGCCTGTACTCACATGGTCACAGTCAGCGCCCCCAGCTGCCAGGGAGGGGCGTAGGGGGCACAACAGTCGCAGCAGCTCACTGTGGGCCCTGCGGGCCCAGCATCTGCAGCTCCCCACCTGCCCCCACTCGCCCCTGGGCATTCCACAGCCCCCTCCATGATGGGCGGCAGCCCCTGCTTCCCATAGAGCCACACCATGGGTCTCCTTTAGAGGGGCTGTTCTCAGAGCTCTCAACAGCCCACCAGGATTCGGGGCAGTGGCCTCCTCCTGGTCACGCACAGCTGAGAGTGTCCCTGCTGAGGCCACTGGAGAGCTGCATCCTGCTCCTGTCCTAACCCTGCTGCTGGGGGACGTGCTGTGCAGGCCAGGGCTGCTCCTGGGCCCAGGAAGTGTGTGGACCTCCTCCAGGAGGAGCAGGTGCATGGAGTGGAGTTCCCGCCCCAGACAGAGAGGGGCCCCCTGCATGGGCGATGGAAGGGGTGACACTTGCCTGAGGACAGCATTTGGGCACTTGCATTCCTCATCCGGGACTTGGGAACAAACTTGTCACCACGGAGCGTAGAGATTGCACATCTGCGAAATCATCAAGCAGGTTTTTCTGTCTGTGTCAATTAGCATATATTAGCCAGGTCTGCTCCTAATTTAAATGACAGGCAAATCCACCTTGCACTCAGATCAGCTCTCTTCTGCGTCTGGGAAAGTAGTTACAGATCCAAGAGTTGTGCTGGACCCCAGGGAATGCAATGTGTGACGTGTTGGGATCCTGTGGGCTGCGACAAGGCTGAGACCTCAGTGTGAGAGCCAGGGGAGGACATGGGGCTGGCAGGGCAGAAAGCCATTTCCAAAGCTCTAGACCAGCATGAGCCACCTTACCTTGGCCTGGCGCAGCTGGTTTTGTTTTTCTCCAGCATGGGCTCAGCCTCTCATGGAGGTCAAAGCAAAACCCAACTCTGGGCTTCTATGTCCTGCGCCAGGCCAGGTGTCACCCTCTGCCTGCTGCTGAGCACTGTAGGGCAACAGCTTCGTGCTGTGGTGAGATGTTCATGTGCACTGTGAGTCTGAAACACACCTGGGACCACCCAGTGATCCTGGTGTCAGAGCCACAGGGCAGTTGAGACTTGCAAAGAGCTCGCCGAGAGCAGGGCTGGATGCAGGCTGCCGCCCAGGGCCCCACCTTCCTCCTTGAGCCCTGTGCTTCCCTTCCCACCCCCTCTGTCCACTGTCTGGGGGACTGGCGCCTGCAGGCTGGTCCCTGCGAGCCAGGCACCAAGGGGAGGAGGGCTGCGACCTGTGCACCAGAAAGTAGGAGAGACTGCAATGAGGCCGATGGCCTCTTCTTCCTGTCCCCCTTCTCAGCCACCTCCTGGTGCCCAAGCACATCCGGGCCTGGTGAGCTCCTCAGCATTTGTGACCACTCAGAATGAGGAAAAGTTGAGTTTTATTCTGGGTTCCAGGGTTTCAGAGCATTGGCCCACAGTGCTCTGGGCCTGTGGGAGGCTGTACAGCATGGCAGGACCGACAGTGGAGGAAGCTACTGCTAGCCAGGAGCCAGGAGGAAACAGGAAGGGGTGAGCCCCGAGCCCTGGGGCCACGACCCAGTGACCTCACTTCTTCCCAGAGCTCCCACCTTCTCAGTAGGGCCACAGGCCTGGGACGGGCCTCCCACACAGGCTTCTGGGGACCCTGCAGGTCCCAGCAGTGGTGACTGAGCTTTCTGCATCCATCTCTCAACCATGGGATGCCCTACCTGTGTCAGGACAACTCGTGAAGTCTTTCAACCCCATTCCAGTCATGCGTGCCGCATTTCCCATGTTAGCCTGACTCTCAGCTTTTCCTCCTGTCTGCTCCTCCACTCCTTGGCCTCAGTGCCAGTCTCTCGCTGTGGCCCTTGGTTCTGCCTGCCAGTGCTGTGACCCTGCTGCGAGTTTCTCATGCCAGAGGGCAGTGTGTTTTAAGCATTTCCCTTCACAGTTCCAAGGGCAGAGCCCAGGAAACAACTGGGGCTCAGAGACCCCATTAAAGAGTTTCAGAGATATGTCAGCACAGAGCTTCCAGTCGACATCTGTGATGCGTGCACAGGTGCTTTGTGTAGACACAGTGCCGGAGCCCACTCTTTGCCGGCACCGGGCCTCTTTCCTGTGCCCGTGCTTCAGGACCTCTGGGCTCTTGGGCTGCACTAGTGCCTCCTGAGAACCGGTTGCTGCTCATGCCTCCCTTGTATGGGCCCTGTCTTCCACCTGCCTTACGCCCTCCACAGGACCACGGAGGATGCAGAGGGAGCCGGGACTTGAGGCCAGCCCCTTCAGGATGGCACCGCCCATGGGGCTGGCAGTCCCCATACACAGGGCCACAGTGCTGGTTGCAGCTTCTAGAGCACAAGTCTGCTAGTGATGATGTTGCTGTCTAGGAGGACGTAACCTGGAGGATGGGTGGATGGATGGATGGATGGATGGGGCTGATGTACCCTGCCTGCCCTCAAGCTGCCCACCCCAGTTTCCCTATGGGAGACCCAGGACAGGAGCTTCAGGTGCCCCCTGAAGGTCTTTGCTCCCTGTCATTCCCCACACAAGTGTGCTTTTGCAGAACCTGGCCACATCCCTTACTAATTCCCCAGCCGTGCCAGTAGCTGCCCGCACCTGTGCATGGAAAAGCGTTGTCAGATATTCCCAGCACACTGGCTTTTGTGCACTGCTTCCTTAGCTCCCAGCATGTGGGGTGACAGCTCCCTACCCTCAAGAAAATACTTTCTAAAGGGTGAGGCCCAACCGTGCTAACGATCCCTGTGAAGTGGCACTGGGTGAAGACCTGTGTCTTCAGGCGCTGGGGCACTGGGCCGGACATTTGTCCTGAGGCCTCTGAGCCAGCCTGGATGCACAGATGTGAGCTCCCAGGAAGTTGGCTGCGTACACCACTGTGCACACCGGCCCCACACCTGGAGGACGTACCTGAGTGTGCCCTGGGGCTGGAGTCAGTGCAGATTCTGGAGAACACAAAGCAGTGCGGAGCATGCTGAGGGGTCGCACCCCCTGGGGATGCACGGCACTGATCTCCAGGGGGCTGGGCAGAGGCCTTCCAGAGCTGGCTGCTGCTGGGCTGCCTCCCACTAGGGCCGGTTGCATCCTCAGGCCCGCCCCAGGCTGCCTTCTCCACGGAGGGCCGGTGTCTGAGTCGTGGGGCTCAGGCCCAGCAATGACTGTCATACGTGTGGGTGGCACTGTCTTCCTGAGTGTCACACACTGGTCTGGGGCCAGGAGTAGGAACTTCCCGATAAAGCCGTGTCAGGGTGCCCCTGCAGCCCCTGTGGGTGAGGTGCTGGGGCACTGCACAGCCCAGGCCACACGTGGTTCTGTGGATCCACTGCCCCACTCACCTCTGAGCGCTGATTCTGGGCGAACATGCAGGCTCACACTGGCAGGCCTAGCACTCCCACGTGAAGCGGTGTGTCTGATGTGTGGCCTCCAAAGGGCTCCTGCTGCCCTCACTGTTTCTGTGTCCAGTGGGTTTGTGCAGCTGTGGAACTTGACACCACTCCTGATGCCCACTGCAGGAACGTGTGTCCGGGTGCCACACAGACTCCATGCTGCGTGGGCGCCTCACTGATGTGTGCTCTGTAGTGAACTTGGGGGTACATATGGGTCCCTGGCCTCTGCACCTACCCCAGCCTGGGGAGCTCAGTGCTGCTGGCTGACACCCTCTGCGCCTCTGGGGAGACCCTGGCTGCTCAGCCTGTATCTGTGGAAAGAGAGCTTCTTTGTTTCAGTAGCTCGGGACCAGGGTTGCACCAGGGATGTTGGTGGCAGGACATTGTGCTTTGCCTGAGTCCCTCCAACAGAACTGCACCCATGACCTTGAAGGAGAGGGTCCTTGTACTCTCAGAACCCAGCATCTCACGTACAGAGTTTCCACTCTCAGACCCCAGGACCTCAGATCTCACATGCATGTTCACAGTGACAGGCTGGGAACCTCACATCCAGGGTTCACACTCACAGACCCCAGGACCTCACGCACTCTGCCCCTCTTGGTCCTCACAGCATGAAAACCACCATCTCCACCTGCCTCCTGTCCTTCGCCTAGTGTCCCTATCACCCCAAAACAGCCCTCCTGCCCCATCATACTCAATTCCTCCCGCCCTGCCTGTCCCATGTCCATCCTCCCTTGGACACACTGTTGCCTCTGATGTTTCTGTTCAGTAAAACTCTGGCCACATGGCAGTCCATCAACCTTGCTGTCCCCTTGATGGAAGCATGGTGGCCTCGAGGTGCGGGTGCAGCCTGGGGGCATCCATGCCCTGCATGGGTCCTTACTGCGCAGAGTGGCATCCGCCAGGCTGGGGCAGGTGCCATCCTGGAGCTGCCCACCTCCTGCCCCGCACCCTGGATTCTGCACCACAGGGTGCCAGTGTGCCTATGCAGGTCTCTGGTGGTAACTGATGAGCTAACGACACCAGGACCTCCGCGTCTCTTTGGTTCTACACAGTCAAACTCAATCAATTATAGATTTTATGGTTTTTACTGAAATATAACACACCTTTCTCAGGTTGCATCCTGGAAAGGAGATATAACAGCACCGTGGTTGTGGTAAAGGTTTGAATATTGAAATGGAGGGTGGAATGCTGGGTGAGCCGAGTGCGGCTGTAGAGGCATTTGATGAATGCCTTGCATGTGGCAGAGAGAGGCCATCACTGTAACAAAGCACAGTGATTTCACACTGTCAGACTTGCTGGGCTGGGCTGGCCGGGTGGCTGTCCCTCAGCTCCTGGGCTAATACGTCTTGTTCTCTTCTGTTGCAGAGTCCCAGTGCACCCTCTGCGGGGAGCCGGAAGGTGAGTACCCTGCTTCTTCGGTGCACATGCGGGAGGGACACGCAGTTGGCTTGGGTGGAGCTGATGGCGAGGGACAGCCGAAGAGTGCTTGGGAGCATTGATGCTGCAGGTGTGTTCTTCTCAGTGTCTGGCGAGTGGAAGAGCCACAGCAGCACGGGAGCATGAGGCATGAGGAGCTCAGCTCTAAGGAAAGTGTGACCACACTGCAGCCAAGCTGCAGGATTTTCTTTGGTTGTTTTGGATTTACAGATTTTGGCCAGTTTTTGCCAAATAGTAGATGCTGACATGTTCATGGGCTATAAGTGTTCTAGCAAGTTCTGTGACCTCATGTGCTAGGAGACTGGAGAGATGGTTCCTGGCCAGTGTGTAGCTGGATCTGAGTCCGGTGGCAGGGGCCTCGCTGGCCTCAGGGAGGGCGAAAAGCTGGCTGTGGGCCGGGTTCAGTTGTGGCCAGAGTGCTGCTGCCAGGGTGCACCTAAGCGCAGGGCTTTCAGGCTGGATGTTTGTCAGTGCTGTTCCAGAGCAATGAAAACCAGTTCATGCAGCCTTGTGCTCGGTGTGCTGAGGAACACAAGGAAAGTATGGCAGATATCTGGCTCCTCTTAGTGGGGATTCCACTGGGCTTGGACGCTGTACTCTGCTTTCAGCAGAAAGCGGTGGATTGGCTAGAAAGCCAGGGAGCTGTGGGCCAGGAGATGGGCGCACTGTGGGCAAGAGTGAGCTGGTCTCAGCGTCAGGCCAGGCCCCAAGAGGCAGGGGTAAGGACTGAGTGGGCTCGCCTGGGCTGAAGCTCAGAGCCAGTGCACAGCCCCACCCAAGAGGACCGGGCTTACCGGGAGTGCTGCCCAGTCTCTAAGTTTGGCGGGAGCTGGGTATCTCAGGTCTTCCGGGTTCTTCCTGTGCTGCACAAGAAAGCACTAACACAGGGTGAGGCACCCCAGCTGGCCTTCCAAAGCTTCGGACTCTGGGCCTGCTGTTCCCAAGGCCACAGAAAGCTGTGTCTGGCAAGCAGGGCCTGGAGGCCTGGCTCTAGACATGGAAGGCCCCCTCTGAGGTCCCTGACACCCTCAACCTGTCTGGTGCCCTCTGGCACTTGAGAGCTTGTTGCTTCCTGTCGCTGTGGCTTTCTGTTGTGTCCTGTTGAATGTGCCTTCTGTGCTTCAGCTGGGCGCAGGCCTCGTGCCCTTGCGGAAGTGTGCGGACTGCTGCGCGCAGTCTCCAGAGGACACGGCACAGTCAGTGTCCTCGTCTGCCTGTCTATAAACTCCGTCCTCTAATCAGGCTGCGGTTGCCTGTCCCCTCCTGCCGCTGTGTGCTCCTTGCTGCTGCTGCCAGCACGGGGCTGGACCCCATGCAGCCTGGCTCTGTGGGCTGTGGACCCCACCCACGCCCCTATGGCCTGGGCACTGCTGTCCAAGCCATCTGGGGTGCAGAACGGAGTCCGATGGGCTCAGATCTGCCAGGGTGGCCTGAAACTGCCTGGAGGGGTCAGCCCAGTGAGACACGGAGCACGGCAGCCCCCACAGCAAGTCAGCCAGACCCTCCTTGTGGGGCCTGAAGCCTGCTGATTGGGCTTCCAGGACAGGGTGGTAGGTGTTAGTCCTACACCACATGCAGAGATGGGAGGAGTTGAGGGGATGGGCCAGGCCTGCTCCTCACTGCTTCCCAACCAGACTCCGTGCAAGAGGAGCCCAGGGCGCTGGCTGTGGCTGGTGGGCAGGGCACAAGGCCGCTGTTCTCCACTGCCCCAGGTCTGCTACCAGAGGAATTACTCCAGTGGGTGTTGGGTCGGTGGACATGGGTCTCAGCTGTGCCTCAAGCACCCGAAAGCCACCTGATGAATATTCATGTGTTTTAAATCATTTAAGTAATTAGTCTGAGTGTGAGCCGGCTGGTTGCAGCGCTTGCAATCTGAAATCAGCTTTTTTGTTTCATAATTTCTCCAGCAGCATCGACAGGTTAGCTCATAACCGCTCCTGCCAGGAGGAGCAAGCTGGCTGGTGGGCAGGCAGCAGAGTGGGTGGGGAGCTCTCGTCCCTGTCCCTCGGGGAGCTCCGCTGCTCTCAGGCTGAACCAGCCAAGTGGAAACACCTATTTGCATTTTAATGATCAGCTCTTTCAGGAGAGAGAGCTAGTTCTTTGGATACAGATTGAATAATTAGCATCGTCTCGGAGGATAATATCTGTCAAACAAATGAGACTGGGAGCCAAGTACTCAGGGTCCTGTAGACCGCAGATTCCACAGCTGCAGGTCCCTGTCACAGTGAGGACTTGTGCAGAGAACCGGAATTTTGCTAAGTACATAGAATGTGGATCCCAACTTCAGTGTACTGCTGGCTGGCTGGGTGGGCACTGTGGCATCCGGAGGCCTGCGGGTGGAGGTCTGTGGACACCCTCACTTCTGAGCCCCTCTTCCCTGGCCAGGTGGAGATGGCCTGGAGGGTGGCAGCACTGGTGGGGCTCACTGTCCCTGTCATTGCCAAGGCTGGCTTCTGCAGCAGGGCACGTGCCGGCCTCTGCGTGGCAGAGGTAGGTCACTAGAACTGCGCCTATCATTACAGCAGCTTGCAGCGTGGCGCCAAGTCCCTCAGTTTCTGAGGTCTTCCCAGTTGTTTCTGTTAGCTTCTGGACACCAGACAAGACCTAGCAGCAGAGCCTTTGCTACTTTGCTTGACCCCGTAAGCATTCCTCTCCTGTGACAGACCCTGCCGGTTTAATACAGGAATGTAATTTAGGAGCACACAGTCCTTTTCCAGCCTCACAGGTAGACGTGTGATGGCATTTGCTTTCTGACCAGGCTGCAGGAAAACAATACAGATGTTATGCAGGGCTGCACTGTCAGTTCCTGGACTTGCCTGTCTCTGCTTTATGGTTCAGCTTCCCTTCCTAGCAAACAGACCTTTGTGATGTGGACAGCCAGGTAAGAATGTCTGGCAGCGTTAAGAGAACTTCCTAGAAATCCACTACTGTGCACCCACAGTGTCTCAGGTTTACACTGTTTGATCCAATTAAAGCCAAGAAGTAGAAAGTTACTCAGACACGAGTCGGCGTCAGGACGCCGCTACACTAGCGTCGTGTGTCCAGCTGCAGGTGGCCCTGGGCCACAGGCTGAGAGCCCGGCTGCAGCAGACTGACAGCCTGCTGGTGACAGAGACAGTAGCTTTACAAGTTTAAGATGAAGTGCTTTCTTTCTAAATATGTTTCTGTGTGAGTTTTTTTTTTGTTTACTTTGATCATTTAAAAACACAGACTGCTCTGGAAATGTTGGTGTGACATGCATAATCTTACATTTTACTACAAATAGAAAGTACATCTTCTCCCTTTATAATGCCTGGTTAAGAAATGGCAGGGAGTGGGGCCGGGAAGGTGGCTCAGTAGAATAAATAATTGCTTCCCTGGCAAGTCAAGGGTCTGAGTTCAATTCCCGGTTCTGGGGAAAAAAAAAAAAAAAAAAAACGAAAGAAAGAAATGACAGGGAGGGCTAGGGAGATAGCTTAGCAGTCTGAGCGCCTGCCTGGCAAGCGCAAGTCCCCGAGTTCTGTCCCTGGTGCTGCCATCAGCCCTGGAACCCCAGGCACAACATGCCAGCCCTGAAACCAGGAGTGGTGGCACATGCCTGTAATCCCAGTGCTGGGGAGGCTGAGATAGAAGGGTCACTACAAGTCCAAACTGCATAGCAAGATCCTGTGTCAAAATAGGAAAAAAAAAAAAAAAAAAAGAAAGAAAGAAAAGAAAAGAAAAAGAAATAGAGGGGCATTTTTCTTGTATTTAGTAGCTTTGCATTCTTGATTTTTTTAAATAAGAGAAATTCAAGATTCCCCCCAAGCAACTCTGAGTGAAGGGAAAGCACACTGCACCCAATCACGTCATCTGGGGGTTTGTAAGACCTCTAAACAACAAGGATAATAAGGTTGCTTTTGAAAACTAAGAGGAGTGTTTCTGTCCCTCACATGCTGTCTAGGCTGAGGGCGCAGCTGCCCCAGCTCCCTGGGGCTCCAGAGCCCTGAGTTCCGACCCGTGTCCTCCCTGGGTCTGCTGGGCACCGGGAGTGGGGCACGAGGCGCTGCTGCCTTCTCAGCGTGCACGGCTCCAGGAAACCCGCTCCCCGGGCATGGAGTCCTCTGTCCAGCAGCTGCCTCTGGAACCCAGATATGGTCCAAGCCTTGGTGGAAACCTGGCAGTGTCACTGGGGTAGAAGATGGCAAGGGCTGTGATGGAGGTGGCCAGAAAGTGGGCAGACTGGGCTGTGACAGAAACTCCCATCCCCTAAAACCCACATGAATGCAGCATAACACACAGTGGAATCCAGTTCGACGTGCAGCTGAGCCTGAATAAAAACCTGAGTGGCCCCCTGAGCCCCAAGAAATGCAGAAGAATCTTAAATCAAGGCTCGGCACCAGTCAGGGCTGAGGAGGGGGCCTAGGAAGGACCACGCTGCATTGGAGTTGGTGCCCTTGGGGAGGGGCCTAGGGACAGGCAGAGGCATGGCCCACAGCAGCATACTTCCCCACCTGTGATGAAAGAAGCCCACACACTGGCCAGGAAGGTGCGACTGCGGGTCAGACACGTGGGAAGCACATTTCCACAGGCCCGGGGGGACCCAAGCCACATGGGTGAAGGGCTCCCTCTCCCTACCTAGATGAACAGAGAAGAGGAAACTCCAAGGGCGAGAGGAGCCAGGGCCTGGAGACAGAAGCCACCGGGACCCACACCCCTGTCTGGCACCAAGCAGTGCAGCGTCACTAGGTGCACTCCCCAAAGCGAAGGGACCCGGACCCACACATATGGTCCTGGCAGAAAGAGATGCAGTGCGAGGTAAAGCAGTGGCAGTGAGTAAGGTGGGCGTGAGAACCAGCCAGTATTCAAACATTAGAGAGTGGATCAGACAGAGCTGCAAAGAGCATTAGGAAAAGAGAAAACAGCACGGGAATATTTCCTGTACCTCTGCTCAAAAACGAGGCATGATGTGGAAGAAGAGCAAGATGTGCAGAACAGGGCTG